GCGAGAAGGCAGTTTCTTCACTAAAGTAATTTGAATTTAAAAGAAAATTGGCATTCAGCCACCTACAAAACTGCCTTGGTTTTAGTGGCTGCTGATTTAAGGCAAGGTGAGCTCTGAAACTTGGATGACAGAAAGTTAGCTGCTTACTGTGAAATATCACGGTTCATGTTGGAAGGATCACAATTTCACGAGTCTGGTAGAAATGCTCTGACAGAATTTTAGATCAGGTCCTTAATAAGGACACAGTGTAAGTCCAATTTAGGAAAAAAACAGGCCAAGGTTTCTCACCTCAGCCTGCTTTCTGCCCCATCTCTCTGCCTTTTGGCTTGCAGTAACTTTCAGTCATGGTAGATACAGTTACTGGGTATGTAATTTCAGGGTTATATGGACTTCAGTATTAAGTATGCAGTGGCATCTTCTGAATTGTTTTGGGCCCCCTGAAATAAGAAATTGCTTTTAAAAAAAAGGGGATGGAATCTGCTCTCACATGAAAACCATAAAACTCTAATTCTTAAAGCACAATGTTTGTATCCTTCCCAACATGGGGCCCTGGGTTCCCTTTGTTCTGCTACTCCATATTTTTCACCAGGAAGGTAGTTTAAAGGAAAATCTTTCAAGTAGAAAAAGCTCAAGGGCCCAACTTCCTGATGAGACGGATTTCTATGCAGGGAGTCTTTCCTATGTGAGGAAGTGCCAATAGGTCAATGAGACCTGTGTGCACAAACACCAATCAGCCGTGTCATTACTTCTTGTATGTGGATTTTGAAAGATCTACATCTTCTTAAAAAAAGAACAGAAAAGAGCAACTGAACTGATTCCTTGCAAACAGGGGTAACTAATGCCCTCGATTAGTTCAAGAAAAGTCAAGGAACCCTATGGCAAGATGAGACGTTAAGGAGCTTTGTGTTCATTCTAAGGCAAAATATAAGAAAATACCCAACCATCTCCTATCAAAATTAAAACACCGAAGGCATTCTTCATGTATTTTAATCAACAATTAATGACAGAGATCCATTCCCTGCTTTTCCTCTGCCTGTTGCAGATCACCTTACACTTACTGCCAGCTGTTTCAAACTGTGCGATGGATGCAAACTTGATGGATCAAATAAATCTTTGATGTGAATTTCCTAAATTCTATGGGATTGTACCAAGGATAAAAATATTATCCATGTTGTTCTTGAATTCTTCTGGCAATTTAGAATATGCAAATTAGTGTGGTAACCATCAGTTATGTAAAATATTTTGCCAAGATCACTTCAGAGGTTTTTATCATGTGGATTATTGGCACAAGAGGGCTTGACACCAAACCCAAATCAATTGTTTTCCTAGCCAACATTACCTTGTTAATGAAGTACACAGGATTTCATTAGAGTTATTGTCTAGGCAGTGCTTGTAAAACACCATTTTATAGTGGATTCACATTTTAAGAAGCAGTACCAGCTTTGCCTGGAATGAAGTGGAATATTAGAGTATTTCCAAGCTGAACCCCACCAGTGCTTGGACTGACCCAGGATGGTGTGTTACAAAAGTCTTGGTAGCCTTAACACTTCACTGTACATATGGGATCACCTTTTGACAGAAGGGTACAATGCAAACGCAACTGCCAGGCTTCAGTAGAGTGGCTGGCTATGAATGGCATTAATCCACCAGATGCCCCCAATTTGAGTGCCTCTTTACCAAGTTCATATGAAAAAATATGGGATGTGAGTCACTGGTGAATTACATTAGCTTCATGATGGTTTATCTCCAGCAAGTCAGCGACGATAACGAAGCTCAGTTAATATTTACCTATTGCATTTACTAAAATCACATACCCTTTAATGGCAAATGATCCATGAAATGGGCTGTAAAGGGGCCAAGAGGAATTGTTCTTTTTGCTAATACAGCTGCAGCAGAGCAAAGGCCTCTTATGCCGCAGGGTCCAATAAAGGGAAGAGTTATTAATCCCAGTATCTCACTGCAGGGGGAATAGTTATAACTTGCGTGTCTGCAATAGCAATGATTCAGTGGTGAATGATCAATATATTCACAAGTTCCCTGTCATTCTGAAATGCTACCATGTTTTTCTGCTGAAAACCTCAGTGTTGTCACACTTGAATATAAAAACTTCATTTGAATGCAAATATCCTTCCCTGTCAGTAGCCCTGAACTCATTGCAAGGGATTGAAGCATCCAGTGATTTCTAAGGAGTGTAGCCAGCACTTTCTGCGGAGAAGTCAGAAGCAGCAGCTCTGATTAGTCACTGACAGGAACTCTGGTCCCCAAGAAATGGCAAAGGAATGGCAAAAATGACAGAGCAGAGAAGCAGAGGTAAGAAAATGGCTAGGTACTGAGCAAGAGAACTGGGTTTCCTGTTTCTCTGAGTAGCAAATATGCTCTTGCTTCTCTCAGGGGAGGATCCCAGATGACAGATGCTACTTTCTCTGCTGAATGGAGTCTAAGTGGTTCAATGAATTATTTGTTTTATTGTGTCTGTTCCTTGGACATAGTTTTAACATGTGCCATTCATGATCTTCCCAGCCCCCTAAATGCTAAGCAGGGCTTGCAGGAGGAAATCATGCCTTAGGTCATCCCTCCTGCCCACCCCAGCATGCCCCTGAACCACCCCATATGTAGAAGACAAAGGGCTGGGAGTTGCAGTGGTCAGCCTCACCATGTTTTTGTCATCTAAGGACTACTCCAACCTGAAGAGTATCTTTGGCAGGTAGTTCATATGTGGTTCCTGCTGCTTTTCTGCTGCCTGCTGGGAATAAAGGGATTATTTTACAGGGTCGGGAATCGTACTCCTAAAGTCCTATTCTTCTTTCTGCTCTCATACCGATATGAATTAAATAGGTGACTTCATTCCCTGAGTGGGAATGAGAAAGGAAGAGGACCATGATTTTTAAAAAATGGATTCTATCTCAGCAGAGTTCTGCATTTGGATTTGACATTAGCTTCGATTTGGGAAAATTAATAGCTTTCAGCTTTCCATCTTTATCCTCAACTAAGCTCTCTTTGTCAGTGTCTGTGGTCTACTGACCTATGTGGGCTTTTTTCCTGGGCTTCCCAGTCCTTCCCCACACCTGCCACTAACACTGTTCTGTGACCTGAACAAGAAGTCAGTTTGAAAGTTACCATAGAAATCTGCTGAATTTGAGTGTTACTAGTGCATGGTATTTGATTTCAGATCATCCTCATATCTACAGTGTCATATTCTTGTGATTTAGTTTATCTACTAGATACTCTACTGGTTTACTTTGTAACTATTTGGATGGAGATCAGCAGGGAAGATATGTCGTGATTAAAAGTAAAAGCAGCAGAAGCCTATTACTTCCGTCACTGGTGCCGTAAAGTCTGTTGACTCTGTATTCCAGCCAAAATGGCAGGGCTTCAAGAACAGACTTTACCTTCCAGTAGTGCCCTGCCTCAAGTGAGACTGACAATGGAATTAATGGGACACGGACAGTGGGAAAGGGGTAACATGAACTCATGTTTCATGTACTGCACAATGCTTTCGCCCGCTGGTGCAGGATTTTCTTAAGAGCAATAGCAGCAGCAAATCTTTGTCTGGCAGACATTTGCACCTGCAATTCTGTAAGCCACTTAGTAAGTGGCTTATGACTGTGCAGGGGGGACAGGTGAAAGAAGCAATGGGCCAGCTTTAGGACACTTAACTTTGTAAATGCTGGAAAACTTGGTAAAGCAGTGAGCAAGACACAGTTCTCAAGGACCAGCTTACTGTCTGAAAACCAGATAAAAGGTCATGTATATTCCCCCTTAAGTGCATGGACAGACTCGACCTGAGGACTTGCAACAAGGGTGAAAACTAAGTCCACTTTAAACTGTATTTGTGCCCATTTACTACTGGCAATCATTCTGGCCTTGCTGTATTCCCAAAGGGGCATTGAGCACTTGAAAGTGTGGGAACGTCTGTTACCTGTGTTTGATTTGCTGGGACTAGGTGAGAGGCTTCTTCTGTCAGGAATGGTTCCCCCATGGCACAATAAGGTGAAGAAACGCTGGGTCAACTTGTGCCAAGAGAGCAAGTAAATCTCTAAGAGAGACCCTAAAATTACTGACATCAAACATCTGTGACAGCGTATCTACTGACTGTCCTGCAGTAGAATGTAGATCAGCTCAAGACTGAGCCTGCTGGATTTTTTATGGGTATGTGATAGGGTATTAAAGCACTCTGATAGGACCCTTTTGCAGCAGTGTAATTTAAGAGATGAAAGAATGAATGGTGGTCTACATTTTGGTGGGACATGGGCACTGCTCCCTTATGCTGTTTGGAGAAACCTCCACCTCTGTGTGCGTAAAGAATAATTCAGCTTCCCATGTCTGACTGGTGTAATTAAATCACATTTGTGCAGCAGAGGTCAGAAGTTTGCACTTTCTGGGCTGATTTCATTCCTGGTTTGTTGAAGCAGTAAATCTCTGGCCTTACTTGTAAGATATTTTGGATACACTTCTTAAAAGACATTGCCCTCATGCCAAAAGTTTTTGCTCTAAATAAACCATATGTTATGCCTGAACTTACAATATTTTTTTTCTCTAACATTTAGAAGTTGGCATCAAGCTAGCAGAGGCAAAACTCACTTTTTCTTTAGCTGGAGGACTGTGCTGATGTGCAAGCCTGAGAAAAGCTCTGGAAGAGGGCAATGATTGCTTGTTACTAATCAGGTGTTATAAAAAATGATTGTTGCCAAAGAAAAAGCAACATGGTGGGGGTGGGGAGTGAGGACACCTATATTAATGAAGGCAATAAGAAAAGGACAGCTCTCTGTCTCCACATAAAACAAGAGAGAACTGGATACCTGTCTTGTCTGAAGGACTGGAGGTGACTGGGTGCTAATCATGAACCACTGAAAGAAAATCGAATGAAGCTCCACCTTTCAGGGGCCCTGCCGTCAGTGTTTTGTTTTCACGCCAGATTCCTGGACTATAAAAATCTCCCTATAAGCCAAGAAAAAAAACACTTCCCTGGAAGGATTTTCAAGTTACTGCTTCATGGCAAGATGGAATTAAAAAAGGGGAGGTCATTTTGGATCTTCTGCCTAATTTGGAGTTGTTGCAAGGGCAAAGAACCCGTTCAGATAGGTAAGAAAAAATTCTAATTCTCAGATTATTTGCTCACATGCAGCTCTCCATAGGCATCATATAGAGTTGTCAAATGAAAATGTGTAACATATTTGTGTAAGAGCTGTAGGCATACCAGGTACTGTTTAACATTGTACATTTTTATCCTTATTGTGAACCACTTAAGTATTTTACTTTTTATCTTTCACTACTAGGTAGTTTATCACTATTTTATGTCCTGTGACTAATCTTAAAGAGGAGACTCTCTGGATGCAGTTCGCATCACAAAAAAATGGTGACACCCTTTTCAACACTTCTATTCTACATAGAAGTGTGTTACCATCATGCCTACTAGGTTTGATTGACCAGTATGAAATAAGGTATTAGGAGTAATCGCACTTTTGTGGTCTGCTGCACTGTTACCTCCTGGTTTGGTTTTGAACGTCTTACACTTTTCCCAGTTAATACACAAACAATTGATGTGACAGTTATTGCTGTCTTAGTAATTTTAGCAACTCCACTTCCAAGAAGAGCCAAGCTTTCTCATTTCCCCCCAGTACCGTGTAGGAAAGTGCCAAATTACCCTAGTCCACTTTAGTGCTATAGCAAACACCTATAGCAAATTACAGCCCCTTTGAAAAGCTGTTTCTGTAAGGACGTCTTGGCACTTGAGTTTGTGTTGCACATTTCTGACATCGAGATCTGAATTTCTCAGTGTTTCCCTGCTGGTTCTTAGGTAGAAATATTTAATAACATTTTAGAGTTCACTGAGTACACTAATGACTGGTTTTGATTTGATCTGTGATGGATGTCACTATGTTGATTTTCCTAAATATGCTACATAAACAACACAAAGAAATTTGCCTGTTTTCATGTGTCATTCTTTCAGATGGGCCTAGAAGAAACGCTAAAAGCATTCAGTAGCAAGTGTATCTTATTTAATTCAAGGTGTTTCATGTTGGCTTTGTGCAGCTCAGTGGTTTGAAAACTACTTTCTGAAGTGAGCTCTTATATGGACTTAGAGTATGTATCCATACCTTTGACAGAGGTACAACCCAGAGGTCCGAGACATGAGTTTTGCTTGAGATGAAAAACAAGTAGCTCTGAGTCAACTGCTGAAGCTGGTGGCAGCCTCAGCTGCTGAGACCAGCGGCTGCAATTTTGCTGAAGAGTCACGCCACCTGTGATATATCCTGGAAGAGATTCAATTCAAGACTTTGGACCAAAGTCTTGCCTGTGTTAAGAAGCAGGATTTCAAAAGTAATAATGAGATTTAGGCAGCCAGGATGGGATTCCCCTCACTGCACTTCTGATATCTACAGCACAAATGTTGAGGGGTGCCATCTACATTGGCACCCCTCAGCAACCATTATAGGCAATTGTGAGAAACATGCAGTCTTGGGGCATATTCTTCCTAGGTAGATATGTAAGGTAGGGAAGCTGAACCTCTTCTGCTTCTCACTGATAACTTCAAATGAGCCTGGGCTCATCTGCTTACATTGGAAGTATCACTGGCATGGACTTCAGAAGTTCAGTGAGATGAAACTCCTTCCTGGAGTTAACATCTTTGTTAAGGAGGTTAACATTTTTTGCCTTTTAAAATCTCTCCTTTAATGTTTTTCAACAACAACAACAAAAAGCTGAGCACTTCATGTTGTATTACTCTTTCTTTAGTCCAGGTCTCTACTGTCAGTAAGAGTGAATGTGCCACCTGGGGCAATTTCCACTTTCATACATTTGACCATGTTAAGTTCACTTTTCCTGGAACCTGCACGTATGTCTTCGCTTCACACTGCAATGACAGCTACCAGGACTTCAACATCCAAATCAGACGCAGTGACAAGAATAGCTTCCTGATCTACTTCACTGTCACCATTGATGGACTGATCTTGGAGGTGAAGGAGACAGGCATCACAGTGAATGGGAACAAGTGAGTAAAGACCGTACTGTTGTTTTGTTGTGTAGCAGTTTTATTGCTAGGTATTAGCAACAGGTGGTCTGTCTAGAAATGGACCTATTCTGCAGAGGTGCAAATGGCTGTGTCTGATATGTTCATAGCACTTCAAACAGGGTATTGAAAAGAGTTCACCCCATAGTGGTGGAGGAGGCAAGAAGCATGTAAACTACATCTCCCAGGGATCAACACCAACATGTTAAGCAAAAGGCAATGTGTGTGTTACAAAAACAGAAGGAGTAGGTTTCTTTAATGTGGCTTTGATTTGGGAGGGAGAGGTAGAGGGAAGGAGATAAAATCAATACTTTATTTATAGAAGGTTTTTATTTTGTAGAAACTTTGTTTTTTTTTTTTCTCAAAACATTATTTCTGTGGTACTAACTCCACTGTTGTATGTTGCCATTCAGTAACAGATGGTCCATTTAGGAAAAGTTTTCTGTTTCCAGCTAGATTAGTCTAGAAAATCGCACTGCTTTCTAGATCAAAGCTTGCCTTGGGATCTTCTTACACAAGACAGAAGTTTCAGAAGTCAAAATCCACACCTTTAATTCCAATCTGAAATGAACCAGAAAGCAAACTGTAAAGAGAAGGGGAAAAATACTCCATAAGCAAAAAGTCATATCAACAGTAGCTGAAAGCTGGGCACAGTTTTAAGGGCAACCCTTATGAGAAGTGCAGTGACCTGCTCCCAGAATATAGGTATGAATGGCTGAGGCAAGCTTTGACTCTGGGAAAAGCCTTCACAATCTTGTTGGAGAGAAAATTGCGAGCATATGGGCTGAGTACTTTTGACAGCCTTTTAGAAACAACCAAATATAGAACAGCATCACTCAGTTGTAATTACAGTGGCAAAGTCCAGATGTATCTTCTAAATCACAGGGGCAAGAAAACTCCAATCTTTTAGTCATTTTTTGATTTTTTAAGTTTTTCAGGCTCTAGGAAAATGAATAGTACTTGTCTTGGTGAGATGAAAAAGTGATGTAGATCTGAGTCATGTCAATACATGAGTAACAGAACAGAGCTCTTTTCACACCTCTGTGAATCCCAAATGTCAAGGCAAGCCTGGAGGGGTGATGAGAACCTGCAGTATCCTTACATGGAGGGCCATTTTCCTAGTATTGTGATCTTGCTCCTTGTAACCTTTTGGGTTAGGTCCTCAGGATATGTAAACAAGTGGAACTGCATTGGTACCAGTCAAGTGGCTAATGCAGTATTGACAGACTCATGACCGAAACACATTGTGTTGTGGATTAAGGTTGGTAAAAGGTCACAGTGGACAAAGTGATAATACCTAAATTTAATGCATTGTGTGGATGAAGGCTGACCTTGAAAAGAATGTCCCCATGGCTTATTTAGCTCCTTTTGACTCTAGTTTTTCTTCCTGTATCTCTGAGAGTATTTCATCAGTCTTTTTTTTCAATGCAATCTCTTTTGTTCCCTCCAATTTCCAGGATCCCCATGCCCTTCAGCTTGAAGAGCATCCTGATTGAGGACACCTGTACTTACTTCCAAGTCACTTCCAAGCTGGGCCTGACACTCAAGTGGAACTGGGCTGACACTCTCCTAGTATGAACAGCCAGTTAGTTGTTTTTCTTTTGGTGAACCTCAATGATGAAAAGCAGAGCTGGATGCAGGCACGGTGTTGATATAAGAGATTATGAGGGGGAGGTATCACTGTATCCATAAGCTGATAGTGACATAACAAACTAAGGGTTTCATGGGGCAGGGGCATGCAGTCACAACACCCAGGCATTCCCAACCAATTTTATATGACAAAAGATGTCACTGTTAACCCTGGAGACAGCACCTTTGTAGTTATCACCTTCCTCCATGGGGCACTGGCAGCAGCACAGCTAGTACCTGCAGTTCTGACTTGTTAGTAACCCTCTGTTTCAGTGCACATCTTGTGTGGGAAACTAATCTGTGTGGCCAGTTCAGACCTTGGCCTCTCTCATTCCAAAGCCTTGCTATGCAGGAGTTCCCCTCTATACATCCACCTCAGAATATTGTCTTTTGCAACAGTGTGTTTATACTTCTGGACGTGAACACTTATCCTCTGCAATCAGGACTGAGATTAAATAGATAAAAGTTGTATGCCATGTTTTGCTGTTCAGAGACATAGAGAGGTTAGAAGGTGAAAAGTGAGGGAAAAAAAATCAGGAAGAAATCAAGTGGTATTCAGATTCTGATTTAATGAAGTATTTCCTTACTTCCTTCCCCTGTACTAATTCATACCTGAAGTATTACAGGCACCACCTGTAGAGTGGACAAAATTTTAGGGTCACATACTTGTAGGAAAAGAACCACCTTTTTTTGGTTGACCAGGGTGATGCCAGTACCATCCTTCAAGCATGTACGAGTGATTAGGTGCAAGAATTTTATCTAGCAAGGCAATAATGTGCTAACCTGGCCCTTTGTTGCCACTGAGTATGGGCAGAACAAGTTACGTTGAACAGACCCACCCTTAGAAATGCTATGAAGTTTTCCATTCAGCCTCTGGACTAAAAAAAAAACCTTAGATATGGCTAAAAGCTGACCAGAAACTGCTGCTTCGCAGCAACCAGCATCAGAGCACAGTTATTTGACCCGTCCAGAGTGGAGAAGTGGTACCATGCAAGAGGTACCACATGACTATATGCCAGTGTCTCTATACTGAGAGATACTAGTCCAAGGATCTGTCCAGGGGTCAGCATGCTTCATTTAGCTCTTTAGTAGGTAGGAAAGACAATTGCTAGAGGATTAACTTCCCATTTAAATTCAGCCTCTCTGCAGGCAAGTTTTGTGACAGGTTTGTAACAGAAAAGGAGACTGCTACAGAATGGTAATGAGCATTGCTGCTGCTGTGCTTTTCTATTTTGAACCACTTTGTAACATGCACTGCTGATGTGGGGAAAAGCTTTTAAATTCTGGGTTTCCTCTTTCCTTTTCTTTTGCAGCTGGACCTGGAAGAAACATATAAAGGGAAAATATGTGGTCTATGTGGGAACTATGATGGCAGTGAGAAGAATGATTTGATTTTGGATGGTAGGCCATGAATACAGCATATTCCACATAGAATGGAACTGTTAATATGTGACATGCACTTGGTATCTGTTTCCTTTAAGCAGCATTTCAGATTTCCTGACAGATGCTTTGAATACATGAACATTTCCTTATACAGGAGGTGTATTTTAAGAGGTTCTGGGGTGATTTGGTTTCCTCTATTTGCAAACTTGCAACAGTCACAAACCTCTTTGGCTCAAATTAATTGCCTGGCTATCATGCAGCAATATTGCCAGGTTTCCGAGTAGTAGCAAACTTTCAGGAACCTATAGTGTCTCAAATGAGGCATAAGTGCATGTTCTGTCCTTCCAATTATGATTTTACACTTAGGTATCAAGTGTGATTATTTCTGCCTCTGTAATGAAATGAAGGCATCATCACTGAGCCAGAGAGGTTTCACTGAGCATCTTTGCAGAAAACGTGGTGCCATCCACTGACAACTTCAGATATTGCACTGAATTGGAAAGAGGCCAACAAAGCAAACAGCTGAGGCTGTGATCTTGCAGCAGGTTGTATGAGCAGAAAGAAACCTTTATCCTGGGATACTAGCTGCAGGACTGAAGCCAAAGTTATAACATCATCCCTTCATGTAATACCTGGGGTTCTTAAGTCACCAGAAAAATATTGTAATCTACCTCAGCCATTCAGAAAGAATCCTGAGATTTGATTAAAAATATGACTTGTAGTGATAGATTTGGGGTTCATTCTCATGTATCATATTAAGCTTTTTGGATGCATCTTAGTCATGCTTCTGCCCTTTGCTTCACAAGTGCAATAGGTAAAAACTAAATCTGGCTCAAATTTTTCTGAAGAAACGGTTTGCTACTGAGAAGTGTTGTTCTAAGAAAAACAGGCTCTTCTTTTATGCATCTGGTTCCACAAACAACAGATTCCCACACCTGGGGATCAGGTGGTCTCCCACCTCCCTCCTTTCTGCTCTGAACACATCCTTCTCCCCGGGCTAAGGAGGCTGCAGTCAGTCTGCCTGCCCAGGTTATGATCCACTGCACGTAACAGTCCAAAACGTCTTCTCACTTTCAGACTCTTTTTGCTTAAGAAAAAAATTATCAGGAAGAAAAATCCCATTTCTGCATGGAGCAGCTCTTCTTGAAACTTTATTCTTTATATTCTTTAATGTCCATTGAAATCCTTAGCAAATCACAGGGATCCAAGAGCTCAGGGCTTTAGAAGGGCTTCTGTTTCCAGAAAAGTCTGTGTTAAAGCATCTGTAAACAATGCTTTTGTGAAAGTAATTCTCTCAGGCCTGCACTTAGTTAAGGGACTGAGCCAGCACAGGAGAATAGACCTGGTCATAAATCTGTCTATTAAACCTTTCTTTAAAAAAAAAAAAAAAAATTGAGGATGGTGATTTATGCATACTCTCCACAAAAATCCATAAATTTCAAACTTTGTCAGAAATATTTCTCATATCCAGAACAGAGTTTCTGGTAATGGTTTGGGAAAACACACCGCTCTAGCTAGTGTGATGGTTACATACATGTATTGTGTGCCTGTCTTCCTCCTGCTCCTTCTTCCCATCTTCTCTAGCCTGTAAAAAGGAATAGATTTCCAGATGATTACAAACATCTGCACCTGAGGCTGTACCTTAGGTTGTGATAGTAGAAGGCAAAATAAAAAGTATGACCATTACACATGCAAATACAAACCCATAGGATCAAATACACTCATAATGAACAGAAGCCTTTGGAAGCGATGAGGTGCAATAGAAAGGTCATGAGTCTCATGTGATTGTAGATGCCCAGGATGACAGCAGGCCTTGACACAAGTGTGCCAGATTCCTGGCTCTAGCTCAACGGAAGTTATATCAGGCTGTCATCCTGTGTAGTATGGATACTGTGGTTAAATTTGGGCATTTGGTGAAGAACATACTGCCTTAGAGCCCAAAGATTAAGTGCACCTTTATAGCCCATTAACTGATCTAAATAATTCCAGGTGGTTACTCAGATGTGTTTGGGGATTTTGCAGGGTATAAAATGCATCCAAGGCAGTTTGGGAACTTCCACAAAGTAGAGGATCCATCAGAAAAATGTGCTGATGTGAGACCAGATGACCACACTGGAAGACATCCTAGGAGGGAAGACAATAGATGCAGTAAATATGTAAGTATGTGTGGCCAAGAATTACAAATCCTCATGAACTACAGTCCTGGAGAGACTGTGTTGAGACAAGTGCTGATTACAGAAGATGCACTGAACTGAATTTTTCAGGAGTCTACCCATGAATCTGAGCAAAATGTTGGTCTTATAGCTGAAAGAATATCCTATTATAATGTTAAAGAAACAGATAGTGGGAAAATGCGCAACTGAATGACAGCTTCCAGTCCAAGAAAAAGGATCTCATGATGGAACTTTAAACTGGATAATCTCTCAAGGTCCCTTTCAACCTGAATTATCCTGTGACCTTGGAATTGTATCATAAAAAATTGGGATGCACATCAATAAACATGAAAGTTGGTAAAATGTCAAGTATTGCTTTTCTTCTCCTTCTTTTCTTTTTTACAGAAAAAAAAATGCAAGAAACTTATGTCCCGTTTTGGAAACTGCCCCAGAGTGGTTGCATTTGATGACTACATAGAGACCTGCACTGAGGATATGTGCCACTGTGCAGTTAATTCTTCTCACTCTGATTTGGTTTCCAGCTGCATATGCAGCACTTTAAACCAGTACTCCCGAGACTGCGTCCTCAGGAAGGGAGACCCTGGGGAATGGAGAACCAAAGAACTTTGCTGTAAGTAACTCTTGCTCTGGAGATTTCTTTCAGGTTAGACATACACACATGTATTTTGATCCCAGCAGAGCAAAGCTAGGAGCTCTGTTAACTACTGTGAATAAATCTGCGGAAGTACTTTGACAGAAACAACTTGATTTTGCTCCTTAAATTAGAACTATATCTCAGAATCATAGAACAGTTTTGTTTGGAAGAGACCTTCAAGTCCAAAGTCCAACCTTTGTCCCAGCTCTATCAACACCACTAAACCATGTCCCTAAGTACAACACCTACCCGTCTCTTAAACACCTCCAGGGATGGTGACCCCACCACCTCCCTAGGCAGCCTGTTCCAGTGCCTGACTTCCCTTTCTGTAAAGAAATTTTTCCTCATATCCAGCCTGAACCTCCCCTGGTGCAGCTTAAGGCCATTTCCCCTTGTTCTATCGCTTGTTACTAGGGAGGAGACCCCCTGCCTCGCTACAACCTCCTTTCAGGTAGCTGTAGAGAGTGATAAGATCTGCCCTCAGCCTCCTCTTCTCCAGGCTGAACAGCCCCAGATCCCTCAGCCATTCCTTATACGAGACACGCTCCAAATCCTTTCCTAGCTTGGTAGCCCGCCTCTATACCCTCTCCAGCACCTCGATGTCCTTCTTGTAGAGAGGGGCCCAAAACTGGACACAGCACTCGAGGTGGGGCCTCACCAGTGCCCAGTACAGGGACACGATCACCTCCCTACTCCTGCTGGCCACACCGCCGGGGTGCTGTTGGCCTTCTTGGCCACCTGAGCCCACTGCTGGCTCGTGTTCAGCCGGCTGTCGACCAGCACCCCCAGGTCCCTCTCCGCCCAGCAGCTCTCCAGCCACTCCTCCCCAGGCCTGTAGCGCTGCTGGGGGTTGTTGTGGCTGAAGTGCAGGGCCCTGCACTTGGCCTTGTTTAAACTCACGGAATTGGCCCTGGCCCAGCAATCCGACCTATCTAGATCCCTCTGTAGAGCTGCCCTGCCCCCAAGCAGATCGACACTTCTATCCAGCTTGGTGTCACCTGCAAACTTACTAAGGGTGCACTCCATCTCCTCGTCCAAATCATTGGTAAAGATGCTAAACAGGAGTAGCCCCAGTACTGAGCCCCAGGGGAAAACACTCGTGACCAGCTGCCAACTGGATTTAACTCCAATGACCACAACTCTCTGGACTTGGCCATCCAAACAGTTTTTTACCTAGCAAAGTGTATGCCCATCCAAGCCAAGAGCAGTCAATTTCTCTAGGAGAATGCTGTGGGAAACAGTGTCAAATGCCTTACTAAAGTCGAGGTAGATGAATCCACAGCCTTTCCCTCATCCAACAAGCAGGTCACCCTGTCATAGAAGGAGATCAGGTTTGTTAAACAGGACCTGCCCTTCATAAACCCATGCTCACTGGGCCTGATCAGTTGGTTGTCCTGCATATGCTGCATAATGGAACTCAGGATGATCTGTTCCATCAGATTACCTGCCACTGATGTCAAACTGACAGGCCTGTAATTTCCTGGATCATCCTTCCATCCTTTCTTATATATGGGTGTTATGCTGGCTGACTTCCAATCTGCTGGGACCCCCCCAGTCAGCCAGGACTGTTGGTAAATGATGGACAGTGGCTTGGTGAGCACCCCTGTCAGTTCTCTCAGCACTCTAGGATGTACCCCATCCAGCCCCATAGATTTATGACATCTTAATATTGTCCTCCTCCTCCTTATATCTAAGTTTTCTCCAATTCTTTTTTTTTTTTTTTAATTTTACAATGCACAGTTAAATCATAAACAGCCTTGTTTTAAATGTTGACACCTAGTTAGAAGAAGTCACTGGGAAGTCTAATGTATTTATTCTCAGCTTATCCTGTGGTTTCATACGCAGTAGTCACAGCTACCAAGCAGGAAATCACTGTAAATCTGGGGGAAGGCTTCAGGTAGTTCTCCCAAACTGCTGATGTGGATTGGGATAGAAAATTAATACCAGAAGGACTGATGCCTCAAGCAAAAATAAACTATTATAAGTCCATAAATGATTCTGGTGTCCTTTGCTTATATATGACTTTAGCCAGCCTTGAGCTAGTAAAATAATGTGAAATAACTCATATTTCCAAAGATGAAGTAAAAGTGACTATAAAAAGTTCCTTTAGAGGTTAAACAAACATGACATATCCAGATAGAAAGTTTTGCAAACAAGATATGGTAGAAAGAAGGTAGAAGGAGTCGGGTAGTAACCCAGTGATTTGAGAGCTCTTATAAATACGTCATTAACATAC